TATGACAAGTCTTGTCTTCCTCTCATTTTTTAGCCCACACCTCCCTACTACAATGTGACAGCCATGAATGTGCCAATTGCAGTGTGGAATGGTGGAAACGACTGGTTGGCTGACCCCCAAGATGTTGATCTTTTGCTTCCAAAATTCTCTAATCTCATTTATCACAAGAAGATTCTTCCTTACAACCACTTGGACTTTATCTGGGCAATGAATGCCCCTCAAGAAATTTACAATGAAATTATTTCTATCATGGCAGAACATAAAAACTAGTTCTGGATTTAAAAAATTATCCATTTCTTTTTTCAAAATTATTTCTTTTCTCACCCGTAGTCTTCTGCCATATTAGAGATGTAGTGCTTTTTTTCTGTAAATTTGACTTTAGAAATATATTGGCATCAAAAAATATCCCATTTTCAATTTTTCCTTTAGAAATTTATCTCAAAACAGCAGAGATAACATATTCCTAAACAGGTAAATCTCTTTCCTACTTTCCCATTGTTTCTTTTCCTAACTCAGCTTAGATTTTGAGCCATGAATCATGAACGTTGTCAAAAAAAAAAAAAAAAAAGACTTGGCTTGAATATTGAGCAAAGTGCTTTTTATTATCATTTAAACTCAGTCTTTCCTTTGGTACAGTGTGGATACTGCTCACTGCTTTGTATGCTTCACCCAAAGAAAATGTAAATTGGGATATAAACTGAATTGGAATCATCTCCCTTTTACTATTGAGCCCTCAAAATGTTAAAATCGAGGCTAGGCTGGAAAACAACAGGGAAACCCTGGGTCAGGGAGTTGGGAGGTGAAGGGTGTGTCTTAATCCCTGGCATTGCTCTTCCCTCAGCAACCTGGACTTGACCCACAAGAGAGGTACCAACTAACTAAAAACTCAACTGCTGTAGAGTCAGATCTGACTCATAGCGACCCCTCCTTGGGTTTCCGAGGCAGTATCACTATGGAAGCAGATCACCCAACCTTCCTTCCAGGGAGTGGCTGGTGGGTTTGAACCACCAGCCTTCTGGTTAGCAGTCAAATGCCTTAGGCAGTATGCTACCAGAGCCCCCTGACTAGATTTTTTAAAGCACTACCATCATCCTGGGAATTCTGGTGGTGTAGTGCCTCAGGCTAACCAGAACACTGTGGTTCAAACCCACCAGCCACCCTTGGAAGGAAGGTTGGGCAATCTACTTCCATAGTGATACTGCCTGGGAAACCGAAGAAGGGGTCACTGTGACTCAGGTCCAACTCAATGGCACATAACAACAACAACCATCATCCTGGTCACTGTAGGACCCAGAAATATTCCAACAAATATTTAAGTCACAATGTACAACTGTCATAGTTTGGTGCCAAAACTCGGCACCTCCAAATTATCATAACTTCTATAAAGCACAGGCTAACCTGAGAAATTTTATTAACACCACAATAGTGTAACCTCATATTTTATGTAATTTATTTTTTTGAACTGCACTTATCACCAGTCTCTGGAGAAGTATATCATGCTTAGTAGAGGGTCAGCAAGAAAGGGGAAGACCCTCAATGAGATGGGTTGCCCCAGTGGCTGCAACAATGAGTTCAAGCGCAGCGGGGATAGCACAGGACTGAGCTTTGTTTAGTTCTGTTG